ATGATTATCTTATTATAATGAATGTCATTATATCATTAAATTATTAAATTTAAATAGTAATAGTAACGTTTTACATACGTCTTACTTCAATTTTCAAGCATTTGCCTTTCTCCCAAATGCCCACAGCATTGTTCAGATGGAATAAGTACCAATAGCATTGTTCAGATGATAGTTAATTCTCATAGCATTATTCAGATGGCAGTAAGTTCTCATAGCATTAATCAGATGGAATAGCACCAATACCATTGTTCAGATAGAATAAACACCCATAGCATTATTCAGATGGAATAAGTACCAATAGAATTATTCAGATGGAATAAGTACCAACAGCATTGTTCAGATGACAGTAAATTCCCATAGCATTGTTCAGATGACAGTAAATTCTCATAGCATTATTCAGATGGCAGTAAGTTCTCATAGCATTAATCAGACGGAATAGCACCAATACCATTGTTCAGATAGAATAAGCACCCATAGCATTATTCAGATGGAATAAGTACCCATAGCATTATTCACATGGCAGTTAAGTTCTCATAACATTATTCACATGGCAGTAAGTTCTCATAGCATTATTCAGATGACAGTAAATTCTCATGACATTATTCAGATAGACAAGTACCCATAGTAGTGTTCAGATGGAATAAGTACCAATAGCATTATTCAGATGACAGTAAGTTCTCATAACATTATTCAGATGGCAATGAACTAAAACAAAACAGAGAAAACATTCATTAATTATTTTTATATAAATTTAAGGCATCAGATACACAATTGATCAAAGTTTATCATTATGTAATAAACATATATAATAATTTTTTTTTACATTATCTACCAAAACCAGGTCAAAATCTAATTATTAAGGTATCACAAATTCTGAAATCAGACATTGGTCCGTACAATGCAGTATTTGATCAGTGAAATATAAGTTTCCATTCCTCTGTTTTATAACAATAGATTATGCTGATAATGTAAGTTTTTAACATTGCAAATATCACACTTGGAGTTACCGAAGTAGAAAATATCAGATACCATATCGGTTACCACCGTCAAATACCCAAGAAGTGCTTCCGAATTTGTTCTTCCCTTAAAGGTATAGTACCTCTTAGGTTGACCAAAAAATTGAAATTTTTAAACTTGGCCAAAATGAGTCTTTGTTCATCAGTGTAATTACCTACTTAAATGAATACATAGTATGATATCAAGATTCTATTTTTTATCCATGGCACCTGGTAAATCCAACTGATGAAGATATACACTCGTTGACCAAGTTTGAGACTTTAAATTTTATGTCCATTTTTGGTACGAAACACGTGTAAGCAGTACGAGATGAGCTATAATTATATACATATAAACAGTGATTAAAAGATAATTTTAATTGTCTAAAATTAATACCTTATTATTTACTAAGACACATCATTAAAAATACAAATGGAAACAAGATAGTCATGAAATAACAATAATATTAACAATAACAAAGTTTTTAATAGTTGAGTGAAGATAATAACAATTATAACATGGTGTTGTCATGGCACTAATTATATATATAACACAATAATAACATAGTTATAAACCTATTTACCGTTATGTTGGCCTTTATAACCTAATTCAATAAATTTGTTGACAGCATCTGAGAAGTTTTGCGGGAGAGGAAAATATTTCTGTACCTCTGGGGGACATCCTCTGCACAATGGTCAATGTATTACGAACTTCGTCTTATACCTTGACTGCAATACCAACTACTCTTGTATCATGAAATGCAGTAATTTGATTGGATTGTACGCCAGCGATTACAGCCAATCAGAGCCCTTGACAGAAAGACTGTAAACAGTATGGCTTATTGTTTACAGTCTTACTGTCAAGGGTTGTGATTGGCTGTATTTGCAAGCGTACAATCCAATTAAATCACTGCATTTACAAACTTCCGTGATACAAAACTAGAGGCTATCGCAGTCAAGGTATAAGACGAGGGTTGTAATAGCTTTACTTTGTAAAGACATAAGCATAAGTCTGACTTGATCTTTTTTTTAACATTGATAAACATAGTATACTCTTGCGTATGAGCATGTTCACAAATATGTCTTCAATACTAAGAATGATATTTAGCTGTAACAAGCAAATGAACAAAATCAATCCCAATCAGTAATGGCAAAATGCTGATCTAGAACTTAGGTACATTGGCAACATTAGGTGGATTGGCAACGACATGAATTTCCGCCTTGATCAATTCATGGTAATTGTCTTATTGATGGATAGAAAGCCGTAAACAATGTACCTTAATTAATAAATAAACAGCAATAGGTTTTGTTACTCAAAAACATGGAAACAATTACATTACTTCATATTAAAAGCCTGTTCCACTGTTAACAGTTCTTTTTTTTATTGATTATGATATAAAATGGCAAGCACTAAAACAAAAATCAAATTCATGAAAAAGATGATCTCTAATATCAATTTATAATTGAAAAAGCAACAGAATTTAGCCTTCGTCGCATGATAAATCAAGATGCATTTAATACAGATATTTTATTTTGGTAAAAAAAATCAAAGCATGTCTTATATTATGATTTACGAATAAGACTGGATGAATTGGACTGTTAACAACCGAACAACAAACATACTATCGCTCCAGTTCAAGCTCCAGAACATATTGTGTTCAAATTCGTTTTTTCCTAATACAAAGTTTCAATACAAAGATATCTTTCCACAATTTTAACTTTTCTACGGTCACAAAATGTAAGAGAACATGAGTAAAATTCGTGACAGAGATTTAAATCTCAAAATCAGTTTTATTGTGTGATGTGAATTTCATAATAATCTACTTAACTACCGTCGTCTTATATTTTAGATTGCCATCAAAAATCTTTATTGTATCCGAAACATGCCTAAAAAAATATGATTTGAAGTCAAAATGACGCTTTTTTAAAATCCACACATTAATTAACAATTTAGGAGACATTCTTGCATTTGATCACAGATAAGTATCACATCTCCTATAAAAAGAATCACTAGGACCCATACAGGACGTATCATGGGGAATGACAAGAGTGGGCTCAGTACTGTAGTATCCTAGAAATTAACGTAAAATGAAATCGAAAGTAAAATGTTGAGGAAGGATTAAATTAAAAAAAGATTATATGCGTACTTAAAACAAATTACGTGAACGTTCTTGATTTACATACCTAAAGTTATTACCGGTTGAAATAGATATATTTTTTATTATAAGATTTGTTGTTTGACAGTTGTTGTCAAATATAAAATACATTAACATATAACAACACTTGACAAGTAAATCACTGTCAGGTGGGTTTTAGGATTGGACTTTAGGTCGAAATGAACTTGCAGTTGTTAAGAATAAATTATTGTCGGCGATTTCAACCTACTCGGGGTTGATTTTATCCAAAATTTAGAAATATGAGGATAATTGTGTAACCATAGACTTATTATCAAAGCAAGATTATTGCAGTTAGGGTTCTTCACAATTTCAAGCTCCAACGAACTTCGTCTTATACCTTGACTGCAATGGCAAAAATCACATAACAACATAACAATAAAAACTATAATTTCTTAACATTCCAAAAACTCAAGAAAACTCCACAAGCGTAAAAGGAATAAAAGGCAAATTGAGATCCATCAGCTATGAAGGTGATATAATATCTATCCTTTTTAATATTCCCTATAACAAAAGCGAGTATCTTAGTGCATTCATTATATGTTCAGTAAATACATAATCTATATACATTTCGTTATTTGGTTATTTGTTATTTTTCAGCAGTTAGAATTATACACAACTATTTCCGATTATATACAATGTTTGGCATTATCCTACATAATGCCTATATCCACATGTACCATGTTATTTTTTCATTTAGGCATATATTGAAATAAACAGTGGCTTTATCATACGATACAGATTAATAGAGGCATCTCAGAATAATGCTTGTAGTAACATGTACCGTTGTAAAGTGCTTATCAGCAATTCACAATCTTGTGTTTAGTTAGTTACACGGGCATTATCTTAAACACACGTACATATTAATAGAGGCATTTAGTGCTCATATTACCTACACTGCCTTAAATTGCCTATAAACATTTAACAAACGGTATATATTAATTGAGGCATCTACGCAGCGAAGTACCTGATTTGTTCTTTTGTGGATGCTGCTATCTCCGAGAAACAAGCTTTCAGGATATAATCACCAGTCAAAAGAGCATCAAGATTTTCACTGCAATCAAGAAGAATACAAAATGCCCATCGACGAGTGAATAATGATACACATTAATAAAGGCATCTAAGTCGGATATTGCCAAATGTTGATGTTCACCAATCAATACCAATAAACAACATCACTCACAATAACTTCAATAATTCTCATTATTTAAAAACTATTCATCTCCATCTAGACTAATTTATTGATTATCAAAGGTTCGAGAAAACACTTCACTGGTTTACACAATTAACATCAGTACAGACTCTCTAGGTCGGCTTAACCAAACCTAATCCTTAAAGGTAGTGCTGAGCCATTCCTGTGACAAATTTAGGCATCTCGCCTACGAAGAGACTCTAGAATTAACCAAATTCTCAAATTGCCCAGATCTTGACTTGCCGTTACCTATACCGATATCAAAAGCGTAGATTGTCAGTTCAGTTTTTGGTCTGAAGTACTTATTACACCATTAGCCCATACTACCATAAGTAGCAATCCCCCATCCGTCCAACTGGTTTTTTCTATTGAACATCCGCATCACTAAGTTTAGGTTCTGTATATGGTGTATAAGCGAAATGAAGTATCCCTCTTGATTAGTTTAACCATATAGTGAGACAAAAGTCATAAAATCCAATTAATGATCCAAAAAAACGTATATTCACAGGTTAGGACAAACATAAATTGTCTCAATTTGAAAGTTTTAAGAGTATTCTAAGAAGCAAACAACTTGCCTAGTGAAAATTGTTTTCAAAACCAGCAACACTGGCGGCATTCTTTATATTTAGAATAGATACCTCAAAAGTTGCCGTTTTTAATAACATGGTCGGAGTCAGCGTGACGTCGCATTGCAGGTAACGTGGACGATTGTCCCGGATGTAGAACGATCTGGCGCCGATGGGAATGAGATTGGCGCGGTTGCATCTGATAAACTTGTTCTATAGGTTTGTGTATCGTAGATGAAACTGCATTTTGGGACCCACGTCGTTGTGGTACTGGTCCAGAAACAACTTGAACTGTCTGTAAAGGTTTCTGGTGGTAATCAAAAACCTCATTGGCTCCAACATACACTGGAGAAGGAGTTGATGCACTGTTTGATGAACCTGTTCTGTAATGATGAGCACGAACCGGAAGTTTACCTCTCGTAGAATGGGTGAGCACGGCTGGTCTCTTAACGTACAGCCCTTTTCGTCCAGAATCGTTGAGTCCTTTCGTTTCGTCAATTGCAAAATTTACGTGTCTATCCGACGAGGGGGAATGTTTTTCCTCGATCTCGGTGTGTCCATTCACATGTCCCTTAACATTTTGAAAGGAATCGGGATCAATACCCTGTTGCAGTAACAAGGATTTGATATTCCGAACTTCTTGGGACAAATTTAAGAGTTCTTCCTTCATCGAGTTATAAGATTCCATTGAAACTAAAGAGTCTCCGTCATAAAAATTTCCAGATGGAGACGGGAGACTATCAGTCACTCGAGAGTCCATGGATACCTCGTCATCATGAAGTGACGAGTCAGAACGGTGAACTTCCACAGAATGATATCCAGAAGAATCTAAACTGGATGTGTGTAGAACATTTGGACGTTCCACACCATTTAATCCTTTCTCCTTATCATTCGACGTTAGACTGTCCGACTCACCTTCGTTATTGTTCGACACAGGTTTCGGTTTCAGAACCCAATTTTGACGGTGAGGATCGGGTCGTGGCGACGAACGGGAACTATTTCGCATTTTACATTCACGATACACCTTATTCATTTGGATTCCATCGGATTCTTTATAACACTGACATGCCAAGAAATTATGAGAATTTTGGAGGTCTGAATAAACAACCATTAAACACAGAGGATGGTATTTATTTACCATAACATCATAAATATCTTTAAATTCGATTTTCATGTTCCGTGCCGACTTGCCATTTTCACTGATAATATGTAACTCGACAGCCACTGGCGTGATTTGAAACGATGCTGGTAATCCTGGTTTCTTTTGATATTCCTCACTGATCAGTCTCAGCTGCCGATCAACATCCGTCCGGGGTGATGACCGCCATAATCCCGAAAATATCACTTTCCTTTCTCCTAGAATAGTCGCCATGTTGGAAAATGCCTTCCCAAGTGGCCCGTTGATCTGAATATAACTGATTTCCTCGACTATCTCATTATAAATGAAGCGCAATCAATGAATACATATCTTATAAAAGCATTCATAGTCAACCCACGACGAATTCTCGTGCTATTCAATAATAAAGTGTATAGAAGGTTGGAAAACCGGTTTGTATAAGTTCCCCTTGGTGTTAATGTGCTTCACTGGTTTAGCAATCCATGCGATCGGTTTTCAATAGTGCTGTATGAAAACTCGTAGTATATAGTCATATAGGTCTCTAACATAGATTATAAAATTAGTAAACAAAATATATGGGAATGTTCACACTTACCAACACGCGTGACATAGTGCAAAAATATCAAAAAGGAGGTAGAATAATAGTATTTAGCGGGAGATTTGTTTCGTACATGGTGTTTAGCAGGTGAAAAAGATTGAAAACTTTTGTCTTACATTTTTTTTTGTTTTTTTTTTACTTCCCTCAAAAAACAAGTTATGGTTGAGTATGGAATGATAGATTTCATCTAAACAAGGACAAAAAAGAGTAAATTGAAAAGAGCGGAATTTGTGAAACCACGGTCGTGATATTACATGGTCACAGCTCACCCTCGAAATTTGAGCCTTCAAATCCATATGTGTCCAGAATTATATTCGTTTCAATGTTGAATTGACGACTCTTCAATTTAAGATACTTTGTGATATGTAGAAAAGACATATATAGGAAAAGATATATATAGAAATATTGAGTAAAAAATTCCTAGTTTGAGATATTTTTAAAGGAATTATGAGATTTTCGTACATATCTAGTACTCTGAAGACTATTTACATATATTCAAGACTAAAACCAACCCCTCAAAATGGTACATCTTCGCCTTTAAAAAAGACTATATCGCACCAGTAACTTAGCTAGACGAGTGGGACCCATGGACTTAACAGAACTGTGAACCCTTCCCCAAAAAATATCTTTCAACATATGCTTTCCTGCATTTATTCTGGGCGACAACCTTTAGGGAAGGTGGTCCCGGACTACGTTCAACCAATCCGTGGGGGTAGTTGAGCCACTGTATTACACATGGGTCACATGATTACCTTCATTATTGATTTGTTTGATACAGTCCCAGATAATTTTATATTGAAAAATCGTCTCTCAATTGTGTTCAAATTCATATCTCAGAACAATTTGATACTATACTACATATAGCAAGCCTATTTAAAAAAAAAATAACTCTGGCTCTGCAAGAAAATGCTCATAAGCGCCATACAAGATTTTTACTACTTTAAGTTCCAAAAGAAGAATATAATCCATTTGTAATAAACACTTCGGTATTATCATTCGGTCGAAAACATAAATATCTCATTTTTCATCTTTTACAAGAATAGTGCACATATTCATTTAGGGTGTTTCTCATCGATCGTTTGCAATAGAGAATAAGAGAAAATAGTTTGGTATTTATGGGAACATAAAATAGACGTAAGAAACCGTATTTGTGGCGTCAAAAAGCCCTTTATGAGTTTTTAACAAACAACAAACAACAAACACCCATAGGATTATGCACACACAGAAAAATATCTATATTTGTCATTTATGGAAGCCGGCTGCGGCCGTTTCTTCTTTCATCCATCCTTCACATTTGCTCGTTAAGGCTCTCTATATAGTTGGTCATATCCCCTGGGATATTAACCTTTGCTATCTCGTTTATAGAAAAATACTATAGATTCAGATTAGAGAAAAACTTAAGCAGTTTGAGAACATTCTTAGATTTGACCTCCGTGCAACTGTTGTGATCTGGAATATTGAAAATTCTAAAGCTCTTTAGTTTTCAACCGATTCTCATAAAATGTGGTATGCGAGTAAACCAAAGGAAGATCAAGTGAAAACTATAAACCTATCGTTAATCCCAGTTTCTAAAGGGAGATATTGTCATCTCGCCATCGAGAAAACGCAGAAAAATTTGCGAGAGGGGGAAAGTAAAAATGGCCGCAGCCGACTTCCATAGTCGATCTATGTGTACGAAAGGATATTATGTATAAAATGCTTAAGTGATTTTCTCACCCTTAGTAAGTATATAATTTTTATCAATAATGATAGAAATATAATATAATAATCTTGAAATAGTGTAAATTATTGAAGAAAGGTGTCTTGGGTTTCGATTCTTTTGTTTGCTTACAAAATGAGGTTATGGAACACTTTCTCAATCAGGCTACATGCAACACATAATTATAATGTATACTGTTTTTAGATATGAAATAGAGATATTACAAAATAATATGATCAATCATTTAGAGATACGGAGTCAAAACCGGCAGCCTAAAGTTAAACAAGTTACGTACTGCTATAAATCTGGTTCAGTCTGTAAAAGTTTTCGGTGCCAAATAAAAGAATTTTAAAAGGGACAATCGCGCCATTTTGAAGGGCTGATTATAAGTAAATAGTCAGATGTACTAGAAATATAAGAAAATCGTTTAATTACTTTAAAAATATCTCAAACTAGGAATTTTACTAACTTTTTCTTTATGTCTTTACTATAAATCTGTGAACAATATCACTGTTTGGCTCAGCTTAAAAAAATTCTTTTTCTGAGACCAAAGTACGATTGGTCAAAAATATGAAAAAAATAAAAAAGAAATGGCGCACTCGTTTCTTTCATGTGGTCGGATATTTCGGTGAGATGTTTATGGATCGGATTTGCATAATGCAGTTTACAATCCAGGAAAATATAATGGTTAATCCATGACCACACCACGGAAGCATCAGAAACGTGACTGATGTCTTTTCGTCCTTGAAGGTCAGCGGAAGTGTAGAATTGGTTTGCCAAAGTGACATTAACTTGAACTCTCTCATGAATACTGGTACCGTAAGCAAAAATATTGGATTAATGTTTTCGTCTATATTGTTTATGTAAATCAGAAATAAAGTGATCCTGGGAAAAACTCTGTTTTTCGCCAGTCGGAACAGTATTGGCTTCCAAGAAGACCTCGTGTACGATGAAACAAGAGGGTGTCCGCAGATTCCCTATGCTCTCGGCTTGAAACAGAGATTCCTTCTGGTGGTTTGTGTAGTCATATTCGTACGATTAATAAACCATATTTAGTTGTTGTTTGTGATCAGATATGATGTGTTGTCTTTTCTGATTGTGGTAGTGGTTATCTCTTCAGCTTTCGGTTATTTTCTAATCTGAATATTTTTGCTATATTGGTGGCCTGGTTATTCGTTGTTGGTTACAATGTTACTGGATGTTTTGTTTGTGGCCAGAAGATTTGGTTGGTAGTTTTTGGTGGTATTTTGTGGAATGTTTTGTTTGTGGTTAGATGTTTGGTATCTAGTTGCAATGTTTTATGTTTGGTGTTAGTTGCTGCCATTTTGTTTGTCTTCGGTTGTATGTGTTTATATGTGCTTGGCGTCAGAGGTTTTGTTTGTTTGTTGTGTGGCTGTAATCTTCTTAACTTGGTTGTTCGTACATGTGGCATGTTTGTAATCGGCTGTACGTGATTGTTTTTGGAACAATGCGGAATATAACATCCATCCCTTGGTAGTCGTTTTGAAAGTCTATTTCTATCGGCGAGCATAGTGATCTAGAGCCCCAATCTAATCCTCAAGTATTTTCAGTATGTAAAGATCAAAAGTGATAAAACATTCTTGTGTGCTGTTTCTTACGCTTGGTTGCACTTAAATGCAAAACACAAAATGTTTGTATTAATTGCACATAATGACTATCAAACATAAAAAATATTTTATCAGATGCCTATGATTAGAGCACAAGATATCAAATATTTGTTGAAAAGTTCATAATTACTCCTTCGAGTATATCAAAATGATAAAACCATAACACCGAAAGGGTATGAGTAGATTAAACTTGAGTGTAATAGGCGAGAACTATTGACACAATCTTATTCTTTAAACCTGCTTCAAAACACTTTATTTATTATTAAAATAAGATTTCACCGCTTCTTCACGACAGTACAAGTAGTACATAGATCTTAATATGCCCAATGCTGTCTCGTACGTCAACGATAAGGCACTTAGCGACGCCATATTTATCCATGAGCGTATATGAAGTGATTTGATTGGTCCTTATGAAAATTTTCAAGATGGCGTCTTGCTCGTCAATTCGAGTTTGATGTATGTCTATTGTCAGTAGTAGGCTATGGAAGTTTTTAGGCGAGTGACACAAATGATACTACAAGGTTCTAACCACTTCAACCGCTGTTTTGTCTAACCTGGGGGTACGTTAGGGTAAATAGGAACATCACGATGTGAAAAATAAAGATGTAGTTTCTTTTAGGAAGTTTTTTCTGACGTACAGCCCTTGTTGCTCCCGTGACTGTTAGAGATTTATCAATGGTTCAACAAGGAACTTGACTCTAAAACGTCGATGAAAGAAGCATAATACCGGCTCTATACAATCGTCAGATATCTTTGCAGTTTCGAAAAAACGGGACCACCTCAGCTGCATCCCAGACCCTACCCCCACAGAGTCCACATATTTTTGTCATGAAATTGAAGAAGGTTCCATATGCAACTGAAATCGAAAGGAACTTCAAACCCTACTTCGCTTAGAATCAAACGTATGCCTAGCAAGGTTAAAGAAGAATAGAATTGGGTTGGGACTGTTATTTCCTTTTTTCCACTTCTGGGTTCACGAAGACGGTCAGTGCCATTTATTGTAACCCCTAGAGTAAAAACCAAAGAAAATCCATGAATGTTACTGATTGAAATATAACTGGTAATAGGAAAGATATTAATTGTAGATTTATAGTAATTACTTGTTAACCCTAATGTCAAATTATTCTTATATAGTAGGATTAATTCCAACTGAGAATCAATATACACTTTATATTACTTTACTATCTGGAACTCTGTTTCGCCTTTCTGATGTATTGATTGTTTGGTTAATCGTTCCGCAGTACGATATAGTTCCCTTGTCATTGCAATAACGTAGGTATTGTGCCGTTTCTGCTATTTTGAAAACTGAATTTCTTGACTCCTTGACGGA